GGCACGGCCCGGCGCGCCGGGGCTGCGCTGCCCACGGGGGGCTCGGGGCGGTAACGGAGCCCGGCACTCGCGTTTTCCGCCACAGCAAAGAGCGCGCTGCAGCCTCACTGCTGCTCCCGAAACGCCCGGAGACACCGCTCCCTCATCCCAGCACGATGCTCCCAGAGTTGTAGGAGAGAGAACGGACTGACGTGGTCAAAGCGCCGTCTCGCCGGTCAGATTAAATGCTGATTTTACTCACTTAAGGTTTCCAGGACACACATTTACACCGTTACACCCTTCACACGTGCTGATCTTGTTGAAATTCCACCGCATTTAACATTTTCTGACCATCTGTCACATGCATTGGCCCACACTACAAGATTATCTTTTTGGTAATTGCATGTTTGCTCAAACAAAACTCCAAACATCAGGACATGGGAACAACAATAAAGAACAGGAAACAAACCAACTGGAGATCATGCTTCATTCTTCCAAAATTGGATTAAAGAAATAGTAATCAGAGATTTTTCCATTATTAGCTCTTTTCTGAACTTGATACACACCTCTTAGCATAACACTCTCTTGTCTCCTCTGGGCCAAGAAAAGCACCTTCTGTATTGTACTGCCAAAATAGCATCCAGTATCCTTTGTTACATAAATATGAGCAGTTTTCAGTATCAATAGGAAAGACTGCTGTTCTTACCTCTGATAATCAAGATCCTAAACCTATACTGAAGCACTTCCCCACTGTATTAAGCTGTTTTTAAAAACTGTGCCCCATGACAATAAACTGAGGTTTGGACAGGATTAATCTGCCATCGATCGCAGATGTCACTGCAGCTCACATCCTTTAAAGGTTCACTGGTTTTCCTGGTGCATGTCACCCCAACACACACTGCTTTTTGCAAACCAGAACAAACTGTGGAAGCAAAGGACAGCTACAAGAGTTCCTCTCTCTAGAGAAAAACTCGTGTTCATCTGGTCTCTGTTCATCCAAACTCACCCACCCTTTGGCCAAGGTTTCCCATAGGAATTCCTGGATCCTATAGCAACGCCGCAGTGCCCAGGTGAGAAGGGGTGAAATGCCCCTGCTTAGCATATGAATGGCCGCTATGCATGCAGATCCCAGCCAGGAAACGTCTCTGCCGGCAAGGATTTGAACAATGAGCTTCCATCCATCTGATAAATATCTACCTGTCTCCCTCCAAGCTCTCTGCTTTACCTCATCTAATTAAATGAAAGCTGATCCTCACCGGTATTCACAGTAGGAGACACACTAAGGCTTTAATCAGCTCAAGCTATTAGCTACATAATGTCTCTAAGAGAATTATAAGAAGAAAAGATCTATGCTAAAGAAACAATAATTTTGTCTTTCCCCATGGGAAAACTTAAGGGACACTTGATTTAAACCAGATTAATCCCCCTCACCCCCCATTCTTTTATGGAGCTTGAGCAAAGCAAAACCATACAGGAGGATACTCTTTTTAAGTCAGTCAAATCCTGTGCACACTTCTGTGATGATACCGATATCTACCTCTGCAACGGGGAGAGATTCCCTGCGACCATCACACGGTGCTGATCACCTATTTCGTATCTTTCTTCTGCTCAGAAGCAGGGGGATCTGCCTCACACCCGGAGCCCTCGTTCCCACACGGACACGAGGTTGGTATTGTGCAATCAGAACTCCGTAGCGGCAGGCACGTGCAGCAGTTTCTGGTTCTACATTCCTCTTTCAAAGCCCATTCAATTGAACTTGGTCACTTTTGGCCTATGCAAAGGCTCATTCTGCTCTAAAAACAAGACTACACCCCTCTTTTCCACACTCCTAAAAGTGCTTCCAGGGATGCAAAAAACAGAATAATGAAAAATGATAGGTCAGCAAAAAACACTCCATTTTCCAACAGAAAGGAACAATGCAGCTCTTATTTTTCTTGAATCCTTCATTGTTTGGAATATTTCTTGCAATGTCTGAACAAAGTTTCTCTTTTTCCTCCTAACTGTCAAGCTTCCTTTCCCTCCCACAGAAGCATTCAACATAACTTAAGCAAATCAGGAAGGACTAGGAAATCTTGCTAGTGTCTACTAATAGTATCTCTGGCATTTGGAGCCCAGCTTATCAGTTTGAAATTCTTTGTGTGATTCCCCACTGCAAAAAACAAATCCTTTAAAACTCTTTCATCAAAAGCAATACTTGTAGCTTCACCAAATAATAACCATCAAATAATAACAAATCAGCATATCAGTATACTGAAAGAAAGCAAATTTAATAAGGGAATTACTCAATTTCACACCTAAAAGTATGAAGAATAACAAAGAAAAATTGGTTTTGAGTATCAAAACTGAATTGACATTGTCTTATTAAATAAATACTCCATGGACACTTACCAGTTCTTTTCTCTTTAATCAGAACATAAAACCTGTTTGAAATAAGCCTCAGCAGGACAACAACATATAGAAGACATTTACAGACTCACTCCTCGGGAGCTATTACAGCCTAAACTGTCTGGATCATGTGTGATTTGGGTCACTAGTGAAAATGAATTTAGGGATTGCAGCTCAGTTCCCCACAGGCATGTGGCCAAACCCCTCACAAACTGGCTGTGTGCTCAGGAATGCAAAGAAAGGGGATGCTAAAGGTCATACTGAAGCATCTTACACAAACCTACAATCCCAGAATTTTTAACTCCTTACCTTCAGACATGGCACTGAAGCAGGCACTCACCTGGCTGTTTCGAAGAACACGATGTATACTTTACCTCGTCTAACATGGAGTTGTACAATATATTTAGTACTTTAAAGGAGATACAGCAGCTACAGGAAGTTATAAAGTATGTCTTACTTCAATGGTGCAATGGATATTTGACTTATGAATCGGATACACATACTATAATTCCACAATAATTTCTAAACTCCTTAGAATCCAGAAGGAAAAGGCAAAAATCCCTCAGGATAAGCAAGAGCCATTACAGACCTAGGTGTTACCTATGAAAAAAAGGTCTTGCAGGTAAAATAGGTGGATTTTTATTAACTAGGTATTAATTTTGTCTCAGCTTCCTTGTAAAGTATGTAAGGCATGAAAGCATAGAGGAAGTAACTAAAGTGCCAAAAGTAGCACAGATCAAGGAGCTAGGGAGAAGATAAGCCCTACAACTTCTGCACAAGCTGTACCCATAGCTAGTACTAGGAAAAAAAAAAACCCAAACCTCAGCACTGAATGTTTCTTTTAATTTTATAATCTGTAATTTTAGTCTTGTCTACTTTGATTTCTGTATTTAACTGTGTAAATTGCATAATGTGCTTAATCTGCTACCTTGCAACGCAGGTGGATAAAATGAGAAAATGCATTGCAGCATGCAGAGCCACAGCCCCAGCACTTACTGCAGACACATATCTTATGCTCCCTCAGGGTGCAAGTGGGCAGTAGGTTGAAGAGTTTGCATCGTGCCTTGGCAGTGATGAAGGCCAGCAGCATAAAGGAGCAGAAGCCAAGGGAAAGCCATTCCCTTTTGCTTTGTGTCTGTTAGAACACATCTGGAATACTGTGTCCAGTTTTCTTAGGATCAAGGAAGATGTTGATAGACTTGAGCACATCCAGTGGAGGGCCAGCAGCGTGGTCAAAGGGTTGCAGTACATGGCCTGTGAGGATGGGCTAAGGGTATGGAGCTAGTTTAGCCTGGAGAAGACTTAGGAGGGAGCTATGACAGCCTTCCAACATCCAAGAAGAGGTTGCTGAGAAGGTGGAACCAGGCTTTTTACTGAGTGAGTTGGAGACACACACCCATAAATTGAAACAGAGAAGCTTCTAACTGTATATAAGGAAAATATTTTTCACTACACAGATAATTAAGCAGTGGAACAGGCCGCCCAGAGACACCGTGGAATCTGTCCTTGGAATTTTTTAAGACTCAAGTGGACAAAGCCCTGAGTAACCTGGTCTGAATTCAGTGTTGGCCCTGCTTTAAGCAGGAGGGTGGACTACATGACTTCCACCTGAATGATTCAATGCCTACCAAACATCTTTACGTTCAAAATACATAATACTTGATTAGCTATTGCCTCTACCTCCAATTTGACAAGTATTTTAAAAAAATCAAGTGTCAGCCTTACTAAAAGATGGAGGAAACGCCAGCAGTTTCTAATGCATCATTATACTGACTTCAGCCAAAATTATATTACTTAAGTGACAGAAACTTTAGCTCTATGATTTGTCAAAAATGCATTGGCAGGAGAGGACAAGAGCTTTGCAGCAAACATGGCAGAAGCAAAATTGCCCCAAGTTTCTTACCTCCCACTCACTTGCAAGCTTCACAGGCACCTCTATGCCCCTCTTCTCCAGCTGTTCCAACTTGTAATCCTCATATTTTTTGTATCCTGCGTATCCCCCACCTGTAGCTACCAGAACATGGAAGGGGCGCAGGCGAAAGACTTGCCCTAACGGAGCAGTATGAAGCTTCTTTCTGTCTGTAACAAAAAAAACCAAAACAAAACGACTTCAGGAAGGAGAATTACATGGTAAAGAAAAAGATGTTCTGTGCTTAGGCAATGAAAATGTGATGAGGAATGTGTGACACAGAAGTTATGTATATGCTCCCAAGTACTCCAGTTACTGAAACCTAGCTGACAAACACTAATTGGCCATCTGTGTTTTTAACCTCATCCCCCACCCCTCCACCTCACATCCCTTCAATATTCTTCCCCTAAAAACATATAAAATGAGCTCCCTGAAAACACCATGGAGAAATATATAAAATGAGCGGCCTGAAAGCGCTATCATGCTTTCCAACTATGAAATCTTCTATGTTGTTACTATGCAGAATAACCAGTTGCTGGGGAACAATTAGTACTGTGGAGCTTCATGCTACTCGGCCACTAAAGCTTTCATTATAGTTAGGGAATCCCCAAATTGTACAGCTAACTGGAAGAGGGAAGGAAATGACGACCTGCTTTAGAGTAGGTTTGGTAAACAGGATAATAGGCATATTTCTGCTGTAATACAGGTCACCACATGAAAAAAAAAAAAAAAAGACACCTAGTATTACAGTCAATCTGAAGGTTCTCAGCAATGAGCATAAGTCACTACCAGACAGAGAAAATATATCATTTCCATAACAATCATTCACATGGATGAGCCAGAATCAAAAACAATGGGCTATCTCTTGTTCCATCTGTATCAGGTTCAGGGTTTGCCTATGAAAGGATACATTAACAGCATAACAAAGAATTCAGTAAACACCAAATCTATTTCTAGATTGCATAGAGACAAAGCATGATTGCTTAGCAATCTGGGAAGCTTTAGTTCTAAGCAGTAGCTGATTAAAAGCATGCAGCTATTCTTCATCCATGCTTGCTCACATTTTGTTTTACCAAAATAATGCTTTTTCCTTCCTACATATGTGATTTAAAACATTGTTTGAATTGCATGTCCCAAAATACATCATAATATGAAAACAGCTTTATTCTTACTGAAAAAATTATAGTATTTTCTGTGGGAAAAGAAAAAACTACCAAAAAACAAGGAGCAATTACAGTTACAGTTAAGATTCTAGAAAATATTCTGCCCTAAAGAACAAAGCTCAGTAAAGGCAGGGATCATTTAGAACAGCTACATGTTTATAAAGAAAGACTTCTATTTATTTTGAATTTACAAAGACTACAACCTTTCAACTTTGCATCACTATTTCAACAGAAAGTCTCTGTAGAGACCAACATCCTCTTTAGCCCTGAAGCCTTTAACTCTCTTCCCACCACATCTTTGGTTCTAAGTTCACAAAGCTGCTCAGCTATTTCACCAGAGTTTAACAAATTCCCAAACCCAAACCCCTCTTTCTGGTTTGTATCCAGGGAGACTCTTTCCACCTCAAGAGCCTCTATTGATTACACCAACATGAATGTTTCTCTTCCTGTGCTAGAGAGCAAACCATTCGATGTTCACAAGCCACAGCAAACACAATTTAATTTGTTGATAAATGTTTTGGAGAGTTGACTTTTCCCCATCTCCAGCATTAATTAAACAGCACTTCTGTAACTGGTATCCAACACGTGATCATTGGCAAAGGCATCTAACACACCATTATTAAGCTTTTTTTACCCTGACAAAATAAAATTCCACAACTTCCAGACATGAATGAAATTCACACAAGTTTACAAATTCCAAAATAAAAAGATTAGTTACTGATTTTGGCAACAAAACCAGGTTCAAGCAGTTGGCCCTGTTTAGAGATTTCAGCTGAACATCATGTTCTGTAACGATACTAATGATGCAGCTTTCTGGCAAGCAGCAGGAGAATGTGAGGAAAACGCATGTCTTGGCACATGAGCCCACAGAAACAAGTCCAGGAGAAAAGGAAAAAGGTGCAGTAATAACGTATTTTTAGATGCTTTGAACCCTAAATCTGAACTCCTTACAGATAAGGCTAACCTGTTTCAGATTTCTCTTAAACATTGTGTATATTCGGCAAATAAGAATAAAAAAGTAACAATTTCCTCCTCTGGAACTGATGAAGACGACTCATTCCCTCAGAAACATTAATAAACCCAGGATGAGAAAGCAGACTGCATAACTGAAGGCATGCTCTAGTCTACGCAATCAGCTGCAATGATTCAAATATTGCTTTGTTACTCTGACCAACCTATGGATTTCTTCAAAGAAAGGATACAAACACTTAGAGAAGGCCGTTATAAGGGGCAGTGATAAAGTTAAAGAAGAGTTAATCTTCTCTTCCTAATAATTTGGAAGTAATCTAGATTTAAACCCAAATCCAAATTAGAAATATCAATTGATTAGAAAATGGCTGGCTAAAAAGTTAATTAGTTCAAAACTCAAAGCTAACTTCAAATGACTTTCTCTTCCATGCCATCAACAATTTTGCATTATGCATCTCAGCTTCCTAGATATTTTCTGCAATGACTAACTTTGATGTCTAGACAACAGAGTTGTTGTTTCTATTTATCTGTGTATGCATATTTTTCAATAATGAAATATCCATATATGACATTCCTGATGAGGGATTTGGACAGGCAAGTTAACCCAAAGAAATGGTTGTAGAAAATGGGATCAAGACCTCAGCTAGCAAGGAAACAAAAATTTAAGACTGTATGCAATTTTTATACTAATATATGACAATGCATATGCTACAACACTGCCAACAGTTGTTTCTTAAAAACAATAATACTTGATCTTCACAGCCAGATTCCAAGTGGAAGCACCACTTTAATCAGGTCTTAAACATTTCATGTATACCTACTTTGATTTCCTGATTTATTAACATTACAAGTACAAATTGAAATATTTGTACTTGTAACTTCCTGATTTATTAAGATTACAAGTACAAATTGAAATATAGAAAGATATTTATGCCTTTTCTTTCTTACAAGTCTGTTAAACTGCTGAAGTCTGAATTCCTCAGACTTCTCAATAGCTGAGAAGAGCTGCACTACAAAGCAGGTAATACAGCTGAACATTTTCAACAAACTTCCACCTGGTTTGTGATGTTACTTTCTTATTATCCATTATATATTAAGCTTGATATTGCCCTTCTCAGTCAGTCACTTCATGTCTAACATTATTTGACTGGCTTTAATGTTGATAATGGGTATCATTTTAGCTGTCAGGCTCATTATTAATGACTGCTATTACAAAGATCTCTCAGCCAACATCCAGGCAGACTCTTTCACATTATCATTGTGACACTGCCCAGAAAAAGAAAGATAGAAGCATGCCTGGCCTGCTGTGCTGTCCTGCTAGAAATGCACTAGAGCAACAAAACATTTTAAAAATGTTGGAGGACATGTAAAACCATTAAACTGATGTAAAAAAAGTTTCACATTTCAAAACCAGGAAAAATGATACAATGTAGGTGTGGGAAGTACACGGACTACTGGCTCAGCAAGTTCTTCAAAGTGGTTTGTTTGGTTTTTTTTTTTAAATGTAAAAACACTGTCCTAACATGACTCTGCTAAAATGTATTGTGTCTTTTAAAAAGTAATTTTCCAACTGTAGACACCTCAGAAGTTAATTAAGAAAAATAAACCTACTGTTAATGAGGTTTTGTTAGCTGTACAGACATCACAAGAAAAATTTCAGATGTTTTGAAAAGTTTGAAAGCTACATGTAAAGAGATTCTGTTATTTATGCTCTTCCCCAGAGACCTTCTTCCTCTAGCACTTGTTATTAGTATCACAGCCTGATTAAATTTGCTTTACAAAATATTCTTTCTTCAGCTGCTGAGAGTAGGGAGTGCAGGGAAACATGAAGTCCCTCATTGCACATACACCTGACCAGAGGAAGCCAAGAAAGTGCCACTTTTGTTACATGACTAGCTTCTAGTAGTTTACAGTACGTTGTTAAGTTGTACAAAAATGCTTGCAGGGAAAAAAATCGATTCATTAGTGTGCCAAGATGGCTGTGATATGAGAAAGGTGCATTTTGTGTTGTATTTACATACTGGGAGGCATGTATTAAGGATGCAGAGCTGCCTAGCTATTGTAATGTTTGAACATATAGCAAACGTGACAAAAAACATATATTGCCAAGGAAGATGGAAAAAAATCCCAACATTCATTTTCCTTAGGAAAAATAAAATAAGAAACATAGAAGCCATTCACTTTATTATTCTAGCTCCTTTTCTGTTGGCCCTGATACAGAGGTTTCTTCAGAAGTGATGATCCCAGTGAAAAGGATGATTGTCAAACTATCAAAGGAGCTTAAAAAAGGCAAATACCCTCCCTCAAAGGGGGTACCATAAAAGGAGACCACTAGGGCAGGATGTCACAATGATAAAGCAAGCTGGTTACTTTTTCATAAACACATACAGGTATAGTGGTTAGAGCTAACAAAAATAATGAGGAAAAAATACCCCAGAAAATAAATAATTGCATAGCCTATTAATAAACCCCAACAGAGGTACTCCTGACTTGGGGGGCTGACATTCCCACAGATGGGATCAGCTCTGCTTTTCCAGTTTTAGACAATACTTCTCTGGATACGACAGCATCTAAACTGCCATCCAGATTTGTGTCTCTGCAAGGTTCCTCATACCTCTAAAATCATTGTGGAACAGATGGCACTTCCAAAAAAAGGATAGAGAAGCAGCTTTCCACCACAGCTAGGGAAGCTATTTGTCTAAAATGCTCCTCTTGTTCAACGAAATTATTTCTGGTTATTTTTAAAATTTATTTTTATTGCTACAACATTTGCTATCCAAGTATTCCAAAAGAGCTGAGAAACAATAACACCTTGTAAGGAATCTCATGAAATAGGTAAATACACTTTTTTTTACTATCTGGAAAACGTAACACCAAAGAAATAAAGCATAATTTGTCTATGGAAATGCCATGAATCAAGTAAGCCTCCGGTGCTGGTACTCCCACTTCTGCTTTAATCTCAAGAACTTTATATTCACCAATATGGGACGGTAATTTGCCTAACTTTGAGCAACCCTGAATTTAAACATGCTGAGCAGATACAAGCCTTCACTTACCATTGAAAAACGTCCTAGAAGGTGGCTGCTTCCACAGGACTCCAGTTCTAAGACACAGGTTCTCACGTATAAGGAAGTTATAGGTAGTCAGCAAACTGCAAATAAACAAGAAGCAGCTGCTTAAGTACAAATGTAAGCAGTTCAGTGTGGTGACAATCTTATCTTCAAAAGCTGAATAAGAGAGGGACAAGTTTCCTTTAAGTATCATAAAATTTCCACTGAGCCTATTCCCTTCTGGCCTATTCCTTCCTTAAAAAACAAAACACCCAATCCAACTGCTCCTAAAGATATTTAATGTTGTATCTATCTTATCTGTTCTTTTTTCTTAACAAATATTGACACAAGTTCCTCGAGCTTAATTCTATTGTAACAGTGATACTCTTTGGAGTATTGTATGTGCTGATCTTGGCAATAGCCCTTTTTTGGACAACTAGTTATGTTGTCATTATGTGATGGAGTTGGCCTGTGTGGAGTTCTAAAATGTTTGCGATGGTGAATATAACCTGTCTTTTTTAAAAGCAAGCTAATATAATCTAATTTCATCTTGGTTTATGCACTGCCCTGGCCTACATGTTTAGTAACTTATTTGTTACTTTTTCTTTTTTTTAAATAAGTGATTCTAGAACAGATGAGAGTTACTGCTCTCTAAATCTGCTTCCAGTTTATTCAACAGCATGCAAACAACTCCTTTAAAGTCAGTCAATTACTTGTATTTTGCTGGGGAAAACAAAAATCTTTAAAACATGATTGTTTTACCTACAAGGAAAGTACGTAGCACAAACTATTATCTTCTGTAACAGCATGGCTAACATGTATTTACTTCCATCCAAATGTAGTGTTTATAATGGGCAAAGTTGAATTCAGCCATGCTGATCAAAACAAACTCTGCTTGCATTGTAGCAGTAAATTTTGTAATTATTGTTTTAGCATTTAGTATTATTTCATTTTCACCAGGCTGCTACACAGGTGTGTCATGTAGTGAACCTCCTACAACAGCAATTCTCTTAAGAGACACTTATAAATTCAGTTTATGTATTTCCTTCCTCACCATGCTGGTGGGAGGAGTATATAGAAAGAAAAGTTATGGACTCTATGAAGAAGTAATGTCATTTATTAGGCCAACTGATATAGCTGGAAAAGTACAAAGGCTGCCAGGCACAGAAGCTCTTCTCTAGAATCTGTCTTACCACTTTGTGCACTGGAGAACTGTGAGTGTGGTTCTGCCACTCCGGAAACATATTAAAATACCTGTAACTGGCCAACACAGGGAAAAGGTTCAACCAGGATTTTTCATCTGTTTATTATAAATTATTTTATTTCATGTTTCTAATAAATCTAAGCACCTTTAGACAAGTCCTTGATGTCATGACCACACCACATCCTGCTGTTAGTCAGGTTCCCAGGCCCAAGCCAGGGCAGGTGAGGGGCAGTGCTCTCACGCCAACAGGCTCAGCTCAGTCCTTTTGGAAGAACCAGGTCTGGCAGGTCTTTGGGCAACCCACTCATTCCCAGGATGCAAATGCCACAGCTGGGATGTCTTCATTTGGCCCTCTGACCTTTCATCTCCTCTTGATCAGATACGCATCGAGTACAGAATTACTTCATTAGCTTACAAGTTATTGCATCATTTAGGACGATTCAATCAGAGGAAGTGATTATTAAGAATTTTAAGAATTCATTTCAGGTGTCTACTCAGTTACATACAGCCATTATCTCTTTATTTAGAAGAAGAATCTACAAATAACAGATTTCTTGTCTAAAAATCACATAGTGATACTAGTAAACACTTACTAACAGTATTTTCATGTCAGCCAAGGATAAATAGCTATAGTTTTCACTTATCCCCATAACACGGTGTCAGTAATATTTCACTCTGCCCTTCAGCTTCCTGGTCTCTATTAAAACCACTGTATTAACCCAAAGGTGACAGGACAGCCCCTCACCAAAACAGATTCCTGTAACCAGATGCTAAACATGCCACACTACTGCATCATCTCCCAGCATATTATTTCCTTAGCAAGACAGAAAAAACATCCCACGCTGCTGCAGAACCTGTATGTTTTACAAAGCTATATGCTGTAATTTTATCATGAACAATGAGGTCAGCTGATCCGCATGGGTCATACACCAGACCTACACTAATTTGCAGTATTACGAGGCCTGCTTTACAACATTTTAAAACACCTAGGATAAAAGGAGTACTTGCCCATCAGTAAGCTGAGGGCCTGTGGGGTCCATATCTAAAGGATTAAAAAAACCCCTAAGAACAGTTAGCATTAGATTTAAACTTACCAGAAAAGTTTTAGAACCCTACCAAATCAGGGGAAAAAAATATTAAAAGTCAGTTACAGCCTAAAACACTAACATTCTCAAGACATGTATTAATCTTGGTACATAATAACCTAAAAAAAAAAAAAAGAAAAGCACAGCCAGAACAAAACTTGATGGCTTCAGAGAAGCATCCAGGAGCTGGTCATGTTGCCAAGGTAGGGCAGGACACACCGAGACTTAGTACTTTAGCAGACAGATCATCAAAGAGGAAGGACGCAACAATTAATCGCAGACCCTAGGCTCTTAACAAAATTGTTTCTGGTGTCCAACATAAGAAAACCAGTCTCCCCCTTACTCTGAAATCTGTCTAAAAATAGGTAAAGGTGACAAGACCAAATAGTTTACTGTCAGCCTTCCCTTCCCTGCTCCTGACAGCCTGACCTTGGTGGGTACAAGTGTACAGGAGAGCACTGGCCTCCTGCCTCTGCCACCCGACCGGAGGTTGTTGGCGCGGGAGCTGCCAGGATCCCACATGAACCTCAGTCCCTCGGTGACTTCAGCCATCGCGGGCTGAGGGACAACACTCCGCTGCCGGGCACTGAGGCCGGACGGTAACAGTGCACTCTGGTGTTTTCTCTAGGTTTTGAGAGAGAAGGTGGAGTAAGGGGACTGTGTGTGCTGTCTAAGAACGCAGAATTATGTCCTGGAAACGGTAATTTTAAAACTGTTGCATTGCTATGAAAAGCGCGAGCTTTAAGAGCAGATCTCCTGTGAAGGCCTGCTGGGTGCCCCGAGAGGTGCTTCTCCTCCCAGCCGGTCCTTCCCGGGGGCATTACATAACCTTTAGGGGCTGTAGCTGCCCCCATTTACCAGTTTCTGCTAAATACCTACTCACTGACAACTGCAGACCATAAAACCG